GAAGGACAAATAATGCATGATTTTATTTATATGATGTATGTAAAATAGCCAAATTTATAAAAACAAAAAACAAAATGATAAGTCCTGAGGAGAGAGGAAAATGAGGAGTTGCTAAAAAATAGGTATAAAATTTCAATCATGCAAGATATATTAGTACCAGAGATCCATTGTACAATATTGTACTTGTAGTAAGCAATACTGCACATTATACTTAAAATTTTTTTTACAGAGTAGATCCCATGTTATATCTTGCTGTGACAATAAAAAAGACAATAAAATATCAATAATTGTCTTATGTACAAATAAATACCTGTTAATAAGATCCAAATATATCAACTTATCAAATCATGAACAAGCTGATTTGTTCTTAACTTTACATGAGCAAACTCCATACATGCTCAGAGGTTATTAAACAGTTTTATTTTAAAGAATATTTGTACACTACTATCTCACTAATGAAAGAAATTTTTAGACTAGTACAGTTTTACCTTTAACAAAATAATTCCTTGCAACATGTTAATATTGAAACCCTAAAGAATTCACAAGCCAGAGGTTAGCAAATGTTTCAACAGACTCTACATAACCGTACATTTTTTGCTCACTTCTGTGTTTCTACAACTTAGCATAGAACATCATACCTTCCAGGCACTGAATACATGCATTAAAATACAATAATTGAAGGGTAGAATAAAGGAATGAAGCCTTACCAATATAACTTGGCACAAAATAAGCTCCAATTATTTACTTGATAAATGTCCTAACAAATATTAAGTTGTCCTAAGAAGAATTTTATTTTCAGTTACAGAATTTTGCATCCTAACATATTCATAAGTATTCTCCTTACAAGTCCTAATTTTTTAGTGTAATAATGAAACAAATGGTGTCCAGAGATTTTAGGAATTTTTCTGAATGGTATAAAGTTTGTGTGTGACAATAACAGAACTGAGACCCAAGTTTTCATAAGATATTTTTTACTTAAAACCTTTATAAATTTTAAGGAGAGTTACTAAAAAATACTTTGAAAAGAAATATATTTCTTGTAGATACAGGCAATATTATTAAGTAAAGTTTCAATTCATATCTGTTTCTATTATTGTCCCCATCATTATCTGTCTTTTCTGTTTCCTGTTATTATGCAAAACAATAAGGTTAAAATGTAGACCAACACAGTAACAAATTTCTCCCAAACATTGATAAATATATCGATTATGTTTCAGTCTTTATACACAAAGGAACTAAAAAGTAGGAAAAGGGTTTTATATTGTTTTTCCAATATTCCCAGTTTTCTTGCATGATGGATACAGTGTCATCCTCTATTGATTAATGAAAGTCTTAACAAGAATTTATATTATGGTTTGTTAATGTTTATTTTAAATACACAGCCTGAAGTTATACGGTATATGCCTTCAAGTTATTCACCAAGCATTGTTTTCATTGTCAGAGGAAAGAGTGTTTCTGTTTTTTGATAACACACAGGTTAGTCTAAAGAAAAGAAGTTTGATATAGATACCTCCGTTAAAAAACTAACATTCAGAAATAGCATGAATTAATGATTAGATATTTTTGAATGGTATTCTGTATTTTTCTATTGGGAACTTATTAACAGATGTAGTGTAGACTTTGTGATAATGATATCTCAAAGAAGCCTCCAGAATTTAGGCATCAAAGAAGGATTAATATAGTGACAAATTTTTAAAAATGATATAAAATGACTTCCAAATTGTTCATAATATTCCTCTAGGACCTAGAAATAGAAATTCCATTTGATCCAGCAATCCCATTACTGGGTATATATCCAAAGGATTACCAATCGTTCTACTATAAGGACACATGCACACGAATGTTCATTGCAGCACTGTTTACAATAGCAAAGACCTGGAACCAACCCAAATGCCCATCGATGATAGACTGGACAGGGAAAATGTGGCACAGATACACCATGGAATACTATGCAGCCATAAAAAAGATGAGTTTGTGTCCTTTGTAGGGACATGGATGAACTTGGAAGCCATCGTTCTCAGCAAACTGAAACAAGAACAGAAAATCAAACACCACATGTTCTCACTCACAGGCGGGTGTTGAACAATGAGAACACATGGACACAGGGAGCGGAGCATCACACATGGTGAACTGTGAGGGGAAGCTAGTGGAGGGACAGTGGGGGATGGGGAGTTGGGGAGGGATAACATAGGGAGAAATGCCAGATATAGGTGATGGGGAGGAGGGCAGAAAACCACATTGCCATGTATGTACCTATTCAACAATCTTGCATGTTCTTCACATGTGCCCCAAAGCCTAAAATGCAATAAAATACATATTTTAAAAAAAAGAAAGAAGGGAAAAGAACAAAATAAATAAATAAATAAATAAATAAATGAATAAAAGAGATGAAAAAAGGTATTTCATGCCACTGGAAATTATAAAAGAACAGGAGTAGCTGTACTTATATCAGAAAAAAATAGATTTCAAGAAAAAAACTATAATAAGAGACAAAGTCACAATATAATGATAGAGGGGTCAATTCAGCAAGAGAATGTAACAATTGTATGTATATATACACCCAAAAACGGCGTAGTCAGATATGTAAAGCAATTATTATTAGAGCTAAAGATACAGATAGACCTCAATACAAATAACAGCTGGAGAATTTCACACCTCATTTTCAGCATTGGACAGTTATTATAGACAGAATATCAGCAAAGATACATTGGACTTGATCTACACTATAAACAAAATAAACCTAATAGTTATTTACAGAACACTTTATTCAGCAGCTGTAGAATACACATTTTTCTCCTCAGACATGAATCATTCTCAAGGAGACAACATATGTTAGGTCACAAGTCTTAAAACATTCAAAAAATAAAATAATATCAAGCATCTTCTTTGACTATAATGGAACAAAACTAGAAATCAATGGCAAGAGAAAGTTTGAAAACTATGCAATCACAGAAAATTAAGCAATGCTCTTTTGAATTACCAGTGGGTCAATAAAGAAATTAAAAAGAAAATTGAAAACTATTGAAACAATTGATAACTCAAACACAACAGATTAAAACCTCTTGGTTACAGCAAAAGCAGTATTAAGGGGGAAGTTTAAGCGCATACATTAAAAAAGAACAAAAGTGTAAACAAACAACTTAATGACGCATCTTAAACAACTATAAAAGCAAGAGGAAACGGAACCCAAATTTAGTAGAAGAAAGGAAATAATAAAGTTCAGAGTAGAGATATATGAAATTGAAACAAACAAAAAATAATGCAAAAGATCAATAAAAGAAAAATTTATGGTCTTTTGGAGAAATAAACAAAATTGACAAATAGCCAGCATAAGTTAGACGAAAAAAGAGGAGACCTAAATAAATAAAGTTGGAGATGAAAAAGGAGACATTGCAATTGACACTGCAGAAATTCAAAGAATCATAAGTGGCTACTTTGAGTAACTATATGCCAGTAAATTTGAAAATCTAGAAGAAACAGATAAATTCATAGATACATAGAACCTACTAAGATTGAACCACAAAGAAATCTAAAACCTGAACAGACCACAATAACAAGTAATGAAATTGGAGCTGTAATAAAAATTCTCCCAGCAAAGAAAAGCCCAGGAACTGATGGCTTCACTGCTCAATTCTACCAAAGTTTAAAAAAAGATAAATAAAAACTAATGCCAATGCTAGTTAAACCATTCTGAAAAATAGAGGAGATAGAAATACTTTCAAACTCATTCTATAATGCAAATATACCCTGATGCCAAAAACAGAGAAAGACACATCAAAAAGGAAAAAACTCTATATGCCAATATTACTGGTGAATGTTTATTCAAAAGTCCCCAACAACATACTAGCAAACCAAATTCAACAACATATAAAAAAGATCATTCATCATATCCAAGTGGTTTTTATTCCAATGATGTAAGAATGACTCAACATATACAAATCAATCAACGTGATACATCATATCAACAGAATGAAGGACAAAATTCATATGATCATGTCAACTGATGCTGAAAAAGTATTTGGTAAAATTCAACATCCCTTCATGATAAAATTCTTCAAGAAACTGGATATAGAAGGAACACACCTCAATATAATAAAAAATACATATGACAATCTCACCAGTGGTAGCTTAATGAATGGGGAAAAGTAAAATACTTTCCTTTATTATTGGAAACACAAGGATACCCACTTTTCCCACTGATATTCAACATAGTCCTGGAAGTTCTAGCTAGAGCAATCAAACAAGAAAACAAAATAAAAGGCATCCAAATTGGAAAGAAAGAAGTCAAATTATCCTTGTTTGCAGATGTTATAATCTTATATTTGGAGAAACCTAAATAATTCACCAAAAAGCTGTTAGAACTGATAAATTCAGTAAAGCTGCAGGATACAAAATCAACATACCACAAAATCAGTAGCATTTCTATATACAAAGAGCAAACAACTGAAAAACAAATCAAGAAAGCAATCCCATTTACAATAGTTTCAAATGATCAAATATCTAGCGATAAACCTAACCAAAGATCTGAAAAAACTATGAAACATTGATACAAGAAATTGAAGAACCACACAAAAAATGAAAATATATTCCATGTTCATAGATTGGAAGAATTAATATTGTTAAAAGTTCCACACTACCTGAATCAATCTACAGATTTAATGCAATCAAAATATCAATGTATCAAAATATCAATGACATTCTTCACAGAAATTGAAAAAAAATCTAAAATATATATAGAACCACAAAAGGTTCAGAATAGCCATACCTATCTTAAGGAAAAAGAACTAAACTGGAGGAATCAGATTACCTGACATCAAATTATACTACAGGGCAATAGTAAACAAGACAGCAAGATATTGGCATAAAATAAACACATAGTTCAGTGAAACAGGATAGAGAACACTGACATAAAGCCATACATCTACACTGAACTCATTTTTCACAAAGGTGTGAAGAATATACATTGTAAAAAAAAAGTCAATCTTTTTAATAAATAGGACTGAGAAAACTGGGTATCTATAAGCAAAAGAATGAAATTAAACCCCTATCACTTGTCATATACAAAAATAAAATCAAAATGGATTAAAGACTTAAATCTGAGACTTCAAATTATGAAACTACTAAAAGAAAATATTGGAGAAAGACATTGGAATGGGCAAACATTTTTTGAATGATATCCCTCAAACACAGGTAACCAAAGCAACAATTAACCAATGAGAGTTTATCAAGTTAAAAAAGCTTCTGCACTGCAAAGCAAACAATTAAGAAAGTGAAGAAACAACCCACAGAAGGAAAGAAAATATTTGCAAAGTATAATTAATAGCTAGAATATATAAGGAGCTCAAACAATTCTATAGGTGAACACTTGCTAATCTAATTAAAAAGGGCAAAAGTTCTGAATAAAAATTTCTCAAAAGAAGACATACAAACAGCAAACAGGTATATGAAAAGATGCTCAGCATCACTGATCATTACAGAAATGCAAATCACAACTACAATTATATATAATTTAATCACAGTCAAAATGGCTTATATCTAAAAAGCAGGTGATAACAAATGCTGGCGAGGATGTGGAGAAAAGGGAACACTTGTACACTGTTGATGGGAATGTATGTTAGTACAACCAGTGTGGAGAGCTGTTTGGAGCTTCCTCAAACATCCACAAATAGAGCTACCATGCAATCCAGTCATCCCCTTTTGGTATATACCCAAAAGCAAGAAAGTTAGTGTACTGAAGAGGTATATGCACTCCCACACTTATTGCAGCAATATTAACAATAATCAAGAATTGGAAGCAACCTAAGTATCCAGCAACAGATGAATGAATAAAGAAAATATGGTATATATACACAATGAAACACTATTTGGCCATAGAATGGGATCCTGTCATTTTCAATAACATGGATGGAACTGGAGGTCATTATGTTAAGTGAAATAAACCAGGCACAAAAAAATAATAATCGCATGCTCTCACTTATTTTGGGGAGCTAAAAATAAAAACAACTGATCTCATGGCGATAGGGAGTAGAAGGATGATGACTTCACACTGGAAAAGATAGTGGGGGCTGGGGGAAAGTCGGAGTAGTTAATGGATTCAAAAACTAGTTAGGAAGAATAAATAAGATCAAGTATTTGATAGCAAAACAGGGTGATTATAGTCATAAATAATTTATGTGTACATTTAAAAATAACTAAAAGAGCATAATTGCATTGTTTGTAAAGCAAATGGTAAATGATTGAGGTGATGAATATCCCATTTACCTTGATGTGATTATTACACATTGCATGCCCATTTCAAATTATCTTATGTAACTCATAAATATGTACATCTATCCAGTACCCACAAAAATTAAATTTTTTTTTTAAAAAAGAAAAACTTTAGTATTTTGTAGTTATTTTATGAATAACATTATTCTGTAATTTACTGGAAAAATCTTCTTTCAAGGAATTAAAAATGAAATTACTATAACTGTAAAATATATGTAATTTTCTAATAAATTGTATTTTATAGTTGAGTATATATAGTATATAATTTTATTAGAACCTTATATATACATAATATTAAAATATATAATTACAATACCAGGTAAGCCATAACTCAAACTACAATAAAATCATCAAGTTTAAAGTGTGAATATATTCTACTGACTTAAAATTTTGTCATAGTTTTATTTTTAAAAATAAAAGATACTTTATTAAGAAATTGCTCTTAAGGAGTAAGCTGCAATGGCAGTATTAAAATCATTTGGCATTTTGTTATGTCTTCCAGGTGTATTATAAAGAGAAAATATTGGATTTTGTGGATGAATCTGAGCTAAGCATAATCCTATTCAAAAGATCCTTTAGTTCCCTCATGTATCATGGTCCATCTGCCTCCTCAAACTCAGTAGGAAGAATTACAGAATGCACTTAAATTAGCAATGAATACCAGGGAGGCTTCTTCCTTCTTGGAAAGGAAAGCACAGTTAGGTAAATCATAAATTCCATCAGTGACTTATTACAGGTTGCAAAGTTTGAATCATTCAGATTTACCCAGCTTAGTCTCCTGGGTTATCCAGGATTCTTGAAAAAGCAATAGTGAACTGACTCAGTTGATTAAACTAGAGGTTTTCAAAACTCACTGAGATTTTGAGTAAGCCTGAAAATAATATGACATCCTCCTTTTAGATCGGTGCTACTCAGACTTTAATGTGCATTCAAATCTTTGGGGATCTTGTCAAAATGTAGATTCTGATATAGAAGATGTTGGATGGGATCACAGGTGCTGCACTTCTAATAAGCTTCCAGGCGATGCTGATACTGATGCTGTGTGAGTCAGCAGACCACATTTGTGTAGAAGGGCTTTAATAAAAGCGAGACAGATACAAACATTGGCTGACATATAGAGCTCGTTATGTGGGTTTAGAGCTTACTTTAGTTTAACATTTTGCTAAAATTTTAGTCCAGACGCATTGGCTCATGCCTATCATCCCAGCACTTTGAGAGGCAGAAGCCGGTGGATCACTTGTAGTCAGGAGTTCAAGACCAGCTTGGCCAACACGGTAAAACACCGTGTCTACTAAAAATACAAAACTTAGCCAGGCGTGATGGCAGGTGCCTGTAATCCCAGCTAATCGAGAGGCTGAGGCGGGAGAATTGCTGGAACTTGAGCAGAGCAGGTTGCTGGGAGCTGTGGTCAGGCCACTACACTCCAGCCTAGGGGATAGAGCAAGACTCCGCCTCAAAAAAAAAAAAAAGGGAATTTTATTTTTAGATAATTAATGATTTTTTAATCTTGTTTTGAGATAATTATATACACAGTAGGCTGCCAAGGTACTACAGAGAGGACCCACATACCCTTCCAATGATTTAACGTTAATAATTTTAGTAAAATGTTAAAACCAGGAACTTGATATTGGCACAATGTGTAAGTAGAGGTATGTGTCATTTCATTACATGTTCAAATTTTTGTAATGACCACTGCAACCATGAGACAGAACTATATTATTATCACCAATATCTCCCTCATGTTACCCATTTACACCCACTTTTCACCATCCCTAACTCCCAGCAATCCTAATGTGTTCTTCATCTCTATAATTTTGTCATTTAAAAATGTAACATAAATGAATTCCTTCACTATGTAACCTTTTGAAATTGGATTGTTTTTACTCAAAATCCTTCACTGGGTATTCATGGCATGGATGTACTACAGGTTGTTTTGTTGTGCTTTGATTTAAGCCATTTAGGTATAGAGGGGCATTTTTGGTTATTTTCAGCCTGAGCAATTACAAATAAAGCTGCTATGAATAAATGTGTACAAATTTTTGTTTAGACAGAAGTTTTCATTTCTTTGAGGCAAATGGCCAGAGGTCCATTTACAGGGTTATATGGTTTAAGCATATATTTTGTTTATTTTACAAACTTCTAAGCTGTTTTCCGGAGTGACTGTATCATTTTATATTCTCCATCAGCAATATTCAAATGATCTATTTTCTTGGCATCCTTAAGAGTATTTCATGTCACAATTTTTCTAGTTGGCTTTTAGGTGTGTAGTGATATCTCATAGTAGTTTCAATTTGCATTTCCCTAATGCCAATGATGTTTAACATCTTTTCATATGTTTATATTTGCCATCTCTGTCTTTTTAGGTGAAATACAACTTCATGTATTTTATTCGTATTTTAGTTGGCTGTTTTTTAAAATAGTTGAATGTTGAGAGTTCTTTACATATTCTACTTGCCAGTCCTTTATTAGATACAGAGTTTGTAAATATTTTCCCCAGTCTGAAGCTCGTCTTTGCATCATGTTAGGGTATTTTACAAAGCCAATATTTTAAAATTTGAATTTAGTCCTAATGCTGTGTTCTCATGCTGTGTTTTTCACCTCCATCAGGTCATTTATGCTCTTCACTAAACTGATTATTCTAGTTGGCAGTTACTGTAACCTTTTATCAAGGTTCTTAGCTTCCTTGAATTGGGTTAAAACATGCTACGTTAGCTCAGAGGTGTTTGTTATTACCCACCTTCTGAAGTTTACTCCTGTCAATTCGTCAAACTCATTCTCCGTCCAGTTTTGTTTTGCTGGTGAGGAGTTGTGATCCTTTGGAAGAGAAGAGGCATTCTGATTTTTGGAATTTCAGCCCTTTTGCACTGGCTTTTCCTCATCTTCATGGATTTATGTACCTTTGGTCCTTGATGTTGGTGAACTTCATATGGGGTTTTTACATGGTTGTCCTTTTCGTGATGTTGATGCTATTCCTTTCTGTTAGTTTTCATTCTAACAGTCAGTCCCCTCTTCTGCAGGTCTGCTGGAGTTTGCTGGAGGTCCACTCCAGACCCTGTTTGCCTGGGTATCACCAGCAAAGGCTGCAAAACAGCAAATATTGCTGCCTCCTACTTCCTCTGGAAGTTTCATCCCAGAGGGGCACCCGCCAGATGCCAGCCGAAGCTCTCTTTTATGAGATGTCTGGTGATCCCTGCTGGAAAATGTCTCCTTGTCAGGAGGCACAGGGGTCAGGGACCCAGTTAAGGAGGCAGTCTGTCCCTCGACAGAGCTTCAGTGCTGTGCTGGGAGATCTACTACTCTCTTCAGAGCTGGCAGGTAGGAACGTTTAAGTCTGCTGAAGCTGTGCCCACAGCTGCCCCATTCCCCAGGTGCTCTGTCCCAGGAAGATGGGAGTTTTATCTATAAGCCCCTGACTGGGACTGCTGCCTTTCTTTCAGAGATGTCCTGCACAAAGAGGAGGAATCTAGAGAGGCAGTGTGGCTACAACGGCTTTGCCATGCTGTAGGGGTTCTGCCAAGTTCAAACTTCCCCGAAGCTTTGTTTACACTGTGAGGGGAAAACTACATACTCAAGCCTCAGTAATGGCAGACTCCCCTCTCCGCACCAAGCTCAAGCATCCAAGGTTGACCTCAGACTGCTGGGTTGGCAGTGAGAATTTCAAGCCAGTGGATCTTAACTTGCTGGGCTCCATGGGGGTGGGATATGCTAAGCAAGAGCACTAGGCTCCCTGGCTTCAGCCCCCTTTCCAGAGGCCTGAACTGCTCTGTCTCACTGGTGTTCCAGGCGCCACTGAGATTAAAAAAAAAAAAAAAAAAAAAAAAAAAAACTCC